TAACTGGGGAATCCAGTTATAAACCATGCTCAAAGTACAAACAAACAAAAAGTTCATTTAAAAAAAAAAGTATTCTTGACATTTTAATGAAATGGCCTCTCAGCTGGCCATGGAGGTGCACATCTTTAATCCCAGAACATGGGAGGCAGAAACAGGAGGATCTCTGTGAGTTCAAGACCAGCCTGTACTACACAGAGTTCTAGGAGAGTCAGGACTACACGGAGAGACCCTATCTCAACAAAACAAAAACAATAAATAAGTAACTGCCTCTCTATTTTCATTTGATTTTTGCCCATAACTCATCTGTCATCGAGATTAGTGACGCTCATCAACCAAATCAAGTTTTTACTGCATAGTCTGCAGGAAAGTAAGTTATACCTACAGTAGCCAATGAGATAGGAGCAAATTGTATGTGGACTTTGGTACTGGCAACCACTTCTGTCACACTTGCTGCTAAGACCTCTGAATTATTTGGTTTGCACTTGAAGCCGGAACACAGTATGGTTCCTTATGAACCACATACCAAATCAGTTCTGAAAGAAAAAATGAAAATGCAGAGAGTAATTCCTTGCCAGATAGTCCTTTTCTTCCAAGGAGTAAACACTTCCCAGGAAGCAAGCCAGCAAGCGGCCAGGAGCCACAGTGCCGTGAGACATTTCTGGTCCTGCTCTGAGGGTGTAGGAGAGGGTGCTGTGAAACAGAAGAAGCCCAGTCACTGGGAAAAGAGAAGGAGCAGCCTAAAACCTAGCCTACATAACTAATCTTTTCTAAGTTAAAATCAGACGTGCTGAAACTAGAAGAGTAGTATCAATCTCTCAGCCTGCCTGGTGAACACGTAATTGCATGACCTGATCACAGAAAAGTCTACTGTCTGACAAATATTCAATACACACAAGCTTTGGATGCTTGCATCGAGCCTTGTACTGGCTTCCATCTAGATTGGTTTTCTTCATCCTAATGACAAGCTCTTCTTTTTCCATTCTGTCAAATGATTACATATTCCTCAATCCCTTATATCCTGGTTTATACATCAATGGGGGTGTAACCCAACACCTAACTCCATTCATCTTAAAGAAAACAAGGGCTTTTAGCTAGGTGTAGCAATGTGTGCCTATAATTCCAACACTCCAGAAGCTGAGGCAGAAGGATCACAAATTAGCTCAGTTCAGATGAAGAGCATTCAGGATGGTTTTGTTTGGCTGTAGACAAGATTGCTAGTTCAAAGCCAGCTTGGACTACATGACAAGTTCCAGGCCTACCTAGGCTATATCGTGACATGGGAGGAAAGGAAAAGAAACAAAGGAACAGGGTGTTTAGTAAAATGTCATCCATAAGCCTTTTTTAATACTTCAATATCACACTTACCCTTCTTTCCACAGAAGTTTGAACCAATTACCCTACCGAGAAATGCCATGCAATCTTTACAATACTACTGTTTTCTGAAAAACTAACTTTCTGCTATATACCTAAATTATTTATGAACTTTATTGTTCACATTGTTTGTACAGTGCTTTAGATTCAAAATGTATTCTCCATAATGTCGACAACATTGAAACATTTATCGATCTTCGTGGTTATTTAAAAAAAGTACAAGTACATTGTCAGTGTTTTAAAAAGAATAAAGGCAAAATAAGCAACTCTTATTCACCCTCTAATGGGGAGAAAGCACTGTATGAGAAAGAACAAAGAGAGAAAGAGGGAGAGGAAAAGAGAAGACAGTTAGTTAAAGCATACTGTAGACACAGTTCTCTGCTGCCTTTCTCCCACTTAGCCATGACTGAACCTTTTCCACTATTAAAATTCTTCATTAATATCTCTCTAATATTTGCATTCTGTCATATATTTTGATGGACCCATAATCTGACGGATCCCCTGTTACTGGGCACTTAAGACTACTGCCACTTCTTTTCTACATAAAGGCCTATTCAGCATTGCGTTGAACTTAACTACTCTCATAAGTTCCTTTGGACTTCTAAAACAGGAATTGCTAAGTCAAAGGGGAGGCGCATTGCTGAGGCTTCTCACACATTCAGTCCATGTGCTTTTCGGAAAGGCTGTACTAAGTGTTTGCCTCTCGTGGCATCTGACAATGTCTGCTCCATGACACACTACTTGACGTGAGACTCTACACTCTTTGAAATCTATAGTAATTTGAGAGCTGGAAAAGTATTATCTTGTTATTGCTTCTATTTTCATTTCTTTGATTGGTAAAAAGAGCTCGATTTAAAACATTAGCTACTTAATTCTAATTCCTGTGACAGTACCTTAACTTTCTATCACCATAATGAAATTCCCACAGTAACCAACTTGCAAAGGGTTTAATTTGACTCACAGCTTTGGAGCTTTCAGTCTACGATCAGCTGGTCTCATTGTATTTGGGACTGTGGTCGGGCAGCGCATCAGGGTCAGAGTGCATGGCAGAGCACTGAGCAAAAGGACAGAATGGGGAGGATGCAGAGGCCACAACTCCCTTTGCTGGCATCCTCTCAATGCCCCCAAAGACTTCCTACCTCTCATAAGCCCCAACACTTTCAAAATGCTTCTACAAGAACTAAGGTTTTAGCACTCAGGCCTTTGGGGGACATCCCAGATCCACACTATAACACTCTGCTTAATTTTTTTTGTCCTTTTTTCTGTTAGATTCTGTATTACTTTTCTATCATGACACAACCAATTTTCATACTCCGGATTGCTTTAAACAATATTTCTTATCTCACAGTCACTAAGGTGTTGGCTCAGCTGGGCTTAGCTCCTATCTAGAAATTCTGTTTCAAACTTGCCTGGATTGTTGACAAAAATCCAGGTTTTTGTAGCTTCGTGTTGGTTGTTGGCCAGGAGGCCACTCTTGGTAGTTCTAAGCCTTCCAAATTCCTCAAGGTTGCCTAAATTCCAGATCAACGGTATCACCCATCTTTAAATCAGCTACAGTATGCTGCATCTTCATGTGATTTCCCAGCAATAGAAAGTTCTACACTTTTAGGGGCACTTGTGATTAGATGAGACCCACTTTGATGATCTCGCCATTCCACTTTCATGCATGTCATATAATATAACATAGTCAGGTAGTCATATTCTATATGCATGGTTCTGGGGATGAGCAAAAAACACTGTTAGAAGGACAGTTTGGAACTATGACTGTCCCAGAGTCTTAGGTGTCCATTTTTATAATTTGTTTGTATGATGGATGATAAATCTTCAGTGCACAAATCTAACAAACAAAGTGCCACGTGCTGCACTTTCCCAGCAGTAAAGGCTGCTGTGTGGTAAATAAAGAATTCTGTGTCTATAATGCTGTGACCTCTAGTACTGAAACATCTTAATTGTAGTAAAATAGTCAAAACATGAAATTTACCACACTAACTATTCTTAAGTGTACTTACTACGAAGTCCATTATCTCCACAGATCTTTTCATCTTGCAAAACTAAAACTCTCTACCCATTCAACAAGAACTTCCTCTACCATCCCTCCCCCAACACTTGATAATTACACATCTGCTTTTCAATATGATGCTTTTTCAAAACATGATGCTTGATACGGTCATCAAACACCTATTCTAGTGGCTGTTCCAGGCACTTCCAAAATATCAGTTTGCCAGGTGTGGTGGCACATACATTGACACCTAAGACTCTGGTGTCAAACTGTACTTCCAAACATTGTTGCTCATCCCCAGAATCTATGCACACAGACATCACTACCTGACTATGTTATACTACAGGACATACATGGTGGTACATCTCAGCAGAGGCAGGTGGGTCTCTGTGAGTTCGAGGCCAGCCTGGTCTACATACTAATTTCCAGGCTAGACAGGGTTACACAGAGAGACTCTGTCTCAAAAAGCATACATATTTAATCCTCATTAAATCTTTGATGAGGTGGTTATTATTCCCATTTTACAGATTAGGAAACAGAAAAATTGAGTAAGCTTCCCAGGATGACACAATGATAAAATGGCCAAACAAGAATTTAAGATGAGGTAATGTGGCTTTAAAGATCTTGCTACACCTATGGCATTGTGATATTATTTACTATAAAGACAAACACACCAGACATTGATATTATTTCATGGTGCATGACATTTGCACACTTCTTGTCAATTTTTAACCTAATCTTTGACTTCTAGCTAAAAGTTAGATTATGTTCACATATCTCTTGACCTTTTAAAGACCTAATTTTTGCCAAGGTATTTGTTTGCAGTAAAGGAAACAAACATTACTTGGTATTTTATTTTAAGCAAATCACCTATAATGCGTGCTATTCTATAATGCTGCATAAGTGCATACCACAATTTAGCATGATTATTGAAAATATTTTAATATTTAATATTTTAAGGAAAAATCAAGATGTTTCTCTCTAGTTCCATGGATCAAAAAAAAATAAAATAAAAGAGAAGAAAAACTAAATACGTTTACAACAACAATATGGTTCAATCTGCTTAACCTGTTAAATTAAAAAGCAAACAATTTGTATAGGCCAGTCTCTACTTGTCATTCAAACTCAGCAGAATTGTTTCAGCTTAAGGGTTGGGCCTCAGAACTCCTTATCTTGTTTTTTTTTATTTTAGCTTAGTAAGCTTTTCGTACAAGACCAATTTGTCATCAGTCCTGTGGCGTCGTTTACTATACATTCAAAATGGTCAGAGTCAACAGACAGAAAAATCGTCGCATTTCTCTGGGGCTAAAAGCTTGAATGGGGTTTGGTTTCTGTGATTACTGGGGAGGGGTTCCTTAAAAAAAAAAACAAAAACGCAGGGAACAGGACCACCTCATTCAACTACTTTCTAATTTGCGTTTACTTGATTCACAAAAAATAAACAGCGCGTCATGCCATCCCCTCACTCATCACCCACAAATGAAGTGCTATCTCCACAAATGAAGAGCGAAATACAAGAGAGAGCAGTGCGTGGGGAGCATCCCCGCGACCCCGGCCAGCTCCGGGGATGTGTCATCCCGTCCCTCTCCGCGCCCCGCCCGCCCGAGGCCGCAGCGAGGCGGATGCTCACCGTGGCTTGGGTCCGGTCGCCCGCGCGGCCTGCAGCCGACTCCCGGCAGGGCCCCGACCCAGGCAGCCCGCCCTCCTCACCGCCAGCGGCTCCGCTCCTGCCGCCGACCATCCCGGCCCGGCTCTGTTTACAAGCGGCTTCTCGCGGTCCCACTCTCAAATGCTTCCCCGCGGCAGCCCGGCAGCCAGACCCGGACGCACAGGGTTCCGGCCCGCGAGGACCGGCCCCTCCTGCGGGAGGAACAGACGGCCAGGCCGGGCCTGATCTCCTTATCTGTTTCCCATACAGCCTTTATCGCAATGCTCCTCCCAACGCCGAAATGGGTGTTTGCATTTCAAGTTGTTACTTGGATCCTACCAGGACAGGGTCAGCTATCAGCAGTTGCCATGGTTAAGAGAATCTCTCAGAAATAATGCTTTCCAAAAGTAGAAACAAAGTGCTTTTCATCTCTAGTTAGGTGCACGGGTTGAAAGGGTGTGGTTGAGAGCGAAGGTCTCTAACCTGGCTGTGGATTCTCAGTGAAGCAGATAGGGCGTTGCTGGGGGGCCAAGGGGAGGACGGATTGTCACCTCTCCTGAAGTCTCCCAGTGACCAGCCACTTTTGCAAGGACGTGCTGTTCCAGTTGGACGGATCTTCCTGTTTCCAGCCTTAATTCTCCATCACAGCATACTTCTTAGTCGTTTTCCCAATTAAGACCAATAAGGGAAGGGCTGGGTGTAGTGGTGCACCCCTTTAATCCCAGCACTGACACTCAGGGGGCAGAAGCAGGTGGACCTCTGTGAGTTGGAGATCAACCTGGTCTACACAGGGAGTTCCAGACCAACCAGAGCTACATAGTGAGACACACCCTGTCGCAAAAGCAAAAGCAAGTCAGGCAGTGGTGACACACGCCTTTAATCTCAGCACTTGGGAGGCAGAGGCAGGCAGATCTACAGAGCGAATTCCAGGACAGTTGAAGGTACACAGAGAAACCTTATCTTGAAAATCCAAAAAGAAAAAAGAAAAGAAAAAGAAAGAAGGAAAGAGAAAAAAGAAAAGAAATGAAGAAACGAAACAAAACAAACAAAAATGTGTTATAGCTCCCAAACATAATATGTACTACATGGTAATTGTATTTTAAATTTTCAAATTTAGGACTAATGTCCAAAATATAGCCTGTTCTCAGGAGACTAAAGGTACTGAAACATGAAGCACAACATAATCAGTAACGATTTTTCCTAGTTAAAAGAGAAAAAAAAAGATTCCAGGATCCTTTGTGTTTGAACTTCATTATTGAAAGCAAAATCAGAGTCTAAAACCTTAGATTGAAGAAAACAAATTCAAACACATTTCTCTTTTCTTTTTAAGTCCATGTTTGCGAAATGACTAAATTTGCTTCCTATCACTTACACAGGGAGCCAACAATAACCTCATCCGAGAAGCCACTGGCTAGTTGTCATCTGGGAACATTTTGTCCCTCTAAATTGAAAAGAGTTAAACTCACGCGGCCATTCAAGAGGCTCTCTGCTACCATCACCCTCGTTATTTTTAATAGACTGTGTCTTTAGAGACATTTTAGATCCACGGGAGAGTTGAGGAAGAGTTCTCACGTACCGCTGCGTATGGACAACCTCCCTGCCTATGAGCATCCTACACCACAACAGGACATCTGCTGTCATCTGTGAACCTCCACAGGTACATCATCAGTCTATAGTTCACATCAGGGCCACTGTCTTTACCTACACTGTACACTGACACCCAGGAAGGCCTCTGTTGAGCAGCCAGAACAATTTTAATATAGAACAGAAAGAATCGTCCAAGTTCATCTAGTCTGACCATTGTCCAGAGCTACTTCCTCACTTCAAGACTTGTAGTGTCCTTATACTAGCAGGAAGAGTTCAGACTGTATTGCTCTCTACCCCACTGGCATTTACCTGTTGATTTTCTCTGCTCGGCACCTGTCTTTGTTAGGGTTTTATCACTGTGAAGAGACACCATGACCACAGCAACTCTTACGAAGGAAAACATTTCATTGGGGCTGGCTTACAGTTTCAGAGGTTTAGTCCATTATCGTCATGGTGAGAAGTATGGTGGCATGCAGGCAGACCCGGTGCTAAAGAAGGAGCTGAGGGTTCTGCATCTTGATCCTCAGGCAGCGGACAGAGAACTGACTTGAGCTTCTGTGACCTCAATGTCCACCCCCTAATGACACACTTCCTCCAACAAAGCCACACCTACTCCAAAAGGCCACACCTCCTAATAGTGCCACTCCCTGTGGACCAAGCATTCAAACATATGAGTCTATGGGGGCCATTTCTATTCAAACCACCACAACACTCACACTTCCTTGGGAAACCTGTTTCTACCTCTAAGTCACAAGGTAAGAATGTAATCACTAGCCGGGCGGTGGTGGTGCACGCCTTTAATCCCAGCACTCAGGAGGCAGAGGCAGGTGGATCTCTGTGAGTTCAAGGCCAGCCTGGTCTCCAAAGCAAGTTCCAGGAAAGGCGCAAAGCTACACAGAGAAACCCTGTCTTGAAAAACAAACAAACAAACAAACAAACAAAAAGAATGTAATCACTGCTAAGCCCATCCTTCTATCTATAGGACCTTCATCCTGGTCATGGTGATGGATCCAAGGACGGGCATTTGTATAAGTTACTTGGCTGTGGGCAAAGATTTCACAAAAAGCAATCTTAGAGGAAGGTTTCTTTTGTCTTATAGTTTAAGGGAATAGAGCCCAGCATGGCAGGAAAGAGTGAGATGACCAGTCACAGGGGACAGAGCCCAGCATGACAGGAAAGAGTGAGATGGCCAGTCACAGGGGACAGAGTCCAGCATGGCAGGAAAGAGTGAGATGGCCAGTCACAGGGGACAGAGCCCAGCATGGCAGGAAAGAGTGAGATGGCCAGTCACAGGGACAGAGCCCAGGACGGCAGGAAAGAGTGAGATGACCAGTCACATTGCATATGCATTTAGGAAGCAGAGAGGGGACAGCAAATAGGACTGGGCTCAGAACCCTCACGACCCATCCCCAGTGACCCACTTCCTTAAGCTGAGCTCTACTCCCACAGCCCCCCCTCAGCTATGGACTAGGTATTCAAATACCTGAACCTATAGGGGGGCATTCCATATTCAAACCACTATAGCAGGTGACCCAAACAGAGGCAGTCCCTGAATATTTGCTCTTCGAAATTTGGGAACATACATTGCCTGTTGGATCACAGGGATGGAAAGATGCATGTTGGGGGCTTCCAGTGGCCAACTTTCTTGTCACATAGAAAATATCTTTCTGAAGGTTGGTTGGATGGGGTGGGTGTAAGTGAACATCAAGGGCTCGATGGATTTGGGGTTGAAGAGAGTGAGAAGCTAAGAAAGAGCCAATCTATCTGAGCCCCATGATCTCCTTAGGTCTGAACTAGCCTCCCCTCTGGGTGCTTCACTGCTGAAATCTTTGTTTGCTCATTCACAGGTAGAAGTGTAACTGGCAGATCACCGTCTCTTCACCCACTTCAGACACACTTAAAGAAACCAATTCTCGGTTACTAGCCATTTCCTACTTATTTATTCCAGGCTTATTAGGGTATAAGTTTTGTTATTGCTCTTCCATGTCCCCCAAAGGGCAGAGGCTTTGTCATATTTATGTTTTCATTTTCCATACCATCTGCTAAACAATCTGAATAAATGTGTGTTAAAGGCTAAAGATGTAGCTCAATGGTGGAGCACTTGCTTAGCACACAAGACCTTGGTTTCCCTCCCTGCCACAGCTTTTTACCCCCAAAACGAAGGCTGTTAAGATGGAACAGTGGAGTTGGGGGTGCTGCTCAGTGGTAGAGTGATTGCCTAATATGTGTGAGGCTCTGAGTCTGATCCCCAGAACCCACCCCCACCAAAGCAAACTAAAATAAAAGGAAGTACCAAATGATATGTAAGGAAATACCATTATTACATGCTTTCATTAGATTTTTATATTTTTTTACTTTTAGCCCTTATTTAATAAAGTATTTCTTAAGCCAGGATAGAATAAAGTAATGCTATTTAAAAAAAAAAAAACAAGCCAGCTGGTGGTGGCACATGCCTTTAATCCCATCACTGGGGAGGCAGAGGCCAGCCTGGTCTACAACGTGAGTTCCAGGACAGTCAGAGCTGTTATACTGAGAAACCCTGTCTTGAAAATAAATAAATAAATAAACAAACAAAAATTCTCATCAAACCAACATTTTAGGACCAGCAAGATGATTCCGTGGATAAACACTCTGTCACACAAGCCTGACAACCTGAGTTTTAAAGTGGAACCCACTTTAAAAAGCTGGGTTCAGTGGACTTCTGTCTGTAATCCCATGCTTCTCCAATGAGAAGGGAAGTTGAGCAGGAGAATCTCCCAGAAGCCCTCAGGCCAGTTAGCCTAGAGTGCACAGCATGGCAGAAAGAAGAGACACCTCAGCAAGGTGGAAGAAGAGAATCAACTCCAAAAACGGGCGGGCCTTTAACTTCCACCTGCACACCATGACATGCCTGTGCACTAACACACAAGTCATGTACACACACACGCACACACACACACACACAATAATAATAATATCAATGATAATATAAGTAAAAATTTCTAAAACAATATTTTAATCTTGATCAGAAAAAAATGAAGGTTATTTATAACTTAAAGTTTGCAAACTAAATATATTTATCCTATTTCTTAAAATATACCCAAGTCAAGGTGAGCAGAATACTCATTAAATTCAGTGTAGCATGTTCCACTCATTTCCTTAGGCAAATTAAAGCCATTTGAGATGTAGAGTATTTTGGTGGCTAGTTTTATGCCAGCTTGACACAAACTATGGTCTTTGGAGAGGAGGGAGCCTCAAATGAGAAAATGCCTCCATAATAAGATTGGCTATCTGCAAGGCTGTAGGACATTTCCTTAGCCAGTGATTGATGCGGGAGAGGCCAGCCCATTGTGGGTGAGCCACCCACCTCTGGGCTGGTAGTCCTGGGTTCTGTAAGACAGCAGGAGAAGCACACTAATAAGCAGCACTCCTCCATAGTCTCTGTATCAGCCCCTGCCTCTAGGTTCCTGCCCTTTCTGATTCTGTCCTGACTTTCTTTGATGATGAACAGTGTTTATTTGAGCAAAGCAACTCCTGGGGCCAGTTCTCCAGTCCCAGAGATCAAGGCTGGAGAAGTTTTGCCCACAA